ACTGAGATATTTCACTCAATAGCATGTCTTCCAGGGTCACTCATTTTGTACATTTCATAAGTTTATTGTTTTTCAGTGCTGCATAGTATTCTATTGTATGAGTATACCACAGCTTCTCAATCCATTTGTTTGTTGATTGGCATTTGGATTGTTTCTAATTCTTTGCTATTGTGAACAAAGCTGCAATAATCATGGATGAGCCTATATCTGCTTGGGTGGCAGTTCTGGTTCCTTTAGAGTATATTCCCAGTAGTGGGACTGCTGTGTCAAATGGTATTTCTATTTCCAACTTTTTGAGAAAGCGCCATACTGTCTTCCATAGTGGTTGCATCATTTCACACTCCCACAACAGAGAATTAAGGGTTCCAGTTTCTCCACAACCTCACCAGGGGCTTTATTTTTACCAATGCCTTCATTGCTGCTTGAATTTCTTTCCTCATCACCAGTGGTTCTTTTATCATATGCTACTTCCTGAAATATTTAAGTGTCGACCAATTCTTTTTGGTAGCATGACTGTGTATTCCCTCCATCTTTTTGTTGTTATTGTTGCTTCCTGGATCATTCACGATTTTGCCATAGCATCTCACTGTATTGCAACTGGAGGCTTGAATTTATTTTTCCATTTTTTCAGCTTGAGAAATGCCTAGTAAGTTCTTCTCCTTTTATTCACCAATGCCAGCTCTTTGTATATTCCATTATAATACTTTGCTTTGTCTTACTGAGCTGCCTTTAAAATCTTCTGTTCAGCTCTTTTACTTTGGCATCTCTTCCCTTTATTTGAGCTTCTCGATGCTCTAGTGCAATTTTCAGTCTCTGCAGACAACCATTTTAGTCTTCTCTGCCTTTGTAATGACCTTTGTTTTCTGCATGGATGTAACAATCTTTAATATCATCCCACAACTCATCTGATTTTCGATCATTAGTGTTCAATACTTTAAACTTGTTCTTAAGATTATTTTTAAATTCAGATGAGATAGATCCAAGGTTGTATTTTGACTCTTGTGGATTTGCTTTCAGCTTCTTCAGTTTGCACTTGTACATGAGTAATTGGTAGTCTGTTACACAGTCAGCACCTAGCCTGGTTTTGACTGCTGATACTGAGCTTCTCCAATATTTCTTTTCACAGATGTAGTCAATCTTATCCTGTGTAGTCCATCAGGTGAAGTTCTTGCCTATAGATGTCATCTGTGCTTCTTAAGTAAGATATCTGCAATTAATAACAAACTAAATTTATACAATTCAATTGTTTTCCTCACCCTCTTACCCATCAAATTATACAACTCCATGGGTGAGGGAAATTGGAAGAATCTGTTCTGAAAAACAATGTATTTGAATTTTGTAAATAAACTAATATAATAAAAAAAGACCAAAAAATTCAATTGTTTGATCTCTAATCTCATTTCTGTCCCCAAATCCATAATTTCCAACTACAAATCCTTCTAATTAGTTTCTAACTTTTGCATTTCAGTTACCAATTATTACTAATGAATATTGACTACATGTTTTATCCATTTCAGACTGAAAAATTTGGTAAAATTCCTCAATTTCCTCATCTTTGGCTTTAGCTGTTATGCATATATATCTATATATACATATCTATAATTTTAATGAAAATTTGCAGAGATTTTGGATTTCCATTCATTCATTCTTGCACTTTTCTCCCTGCCCAGCCCTCCCCGCTGACCCAGTACACTCTTACTCTTCTCTTTGAAAAGTAAAGGAAAAATTCTTTCATTGTTTTACAATCTCTCCCCCCAGGCCCACTCCACTATGCAGCCTTCGTTCTGGACTCCTGTCATGACAATAATACCTAATCACATATCCCTTTTAAACAGTTTCTCCCTCATCTGTTTCAATGCAGTATATGTTATTTATCCCATCTTTCTCTGTTTCCACCCAACCCCAATGTCAGTCCTGTTTTACAACAGTGGCACTATGCAGTATTTGTCCTTTTGTGACTGAGATACTTCACTCAGCATAATGTCTTCCAGGGTCACCCATTTTGAATAATATTGAATGGATTCCTTGTTTTTGAATGCATCTTAGTATTCTAATGTGTGGGTATACCAGAACTTCCCGATCCATTTGTTGATGGGCACTTAGGTTGTTTCCAACTCCTTGCTATTGTGAACAAAGCTGCAATAAACATGGGTGTGCATATATCTGCTTGTGTCAAATGATCTATTTGCAACTTTTTGAGAAAGCACCACACTGCCTCCAACAGTGGTTGCACTATGCATATATTTGAATAACAGTTGTATTAACAGGTTTTTCTTGTATGCTTGTGGTTAACATCCTATCACTCACAGCACTGTACTTGATTATAGATCTTCCAACAGTGTTTTTTACTATGAATGCAACACTATTCCTCTTTTTTTCATTCCCAGAATAGTACATCATATGATTATCTGATCAAAGTGATCCATTCCATCTTGGTTTACTGATGCCTAGAATGTCTATCCTTATGCATTCCACTTCATTTTTTTACAACTTTCAGTTTTTCTACATTCATATTTGTACTTTCCCTGTTCTAATTATTAGTGGATTTTCATAGCTGTTTCTGCTCATTTTTTTAGTGATCTCCCACCTGGGTTCTACGTCTAATACTATCGCAACCAGTGTTCCTCTATTGTTCATAGTGGTTTTGAACTAGTTATTTCAGAAGTGCATGGCTAACTCTGCTTCCTAGTTAGTCTTAATCTGGGTACTCTGCTAAAACCTGTCTACCATAGGTGACCCTACTGGTATTTGAAATACCAGTGGCATAGCTTCCAGCATCACAGCAACCCACAAGTTACAATAGTACAAGTGACAAGCTGTTGACACACAAGTGGTGTACTGATGGCAGCACAGGATATCTAAGGTGTGTGCATCTGTCACTTTTATAAGTTTCCTAATAGAGTTTACAGGAGTTCTGGTGGTTTAGTGGTAAGGAGTTGCACTGCCAACCCAAGGCCACACCTTTCAAATCCACCAGTTGCTCTGTGGGAGACAGGCAATCTCCTCCCATGTGACTTATTGCCTCTGAAAACCCTCTAGAGGGTCAGCTCTCAGTCACTTCCAACTTGGTGGTACATGACAACAATCGAGTATAAATCTTAAGAGTGGAATTGTTGGTGCATGTGGCAGTTCTACCTCTGTGGAACTGTTCCCCCAATAGTTACTCTGTATTTCCACGAGCAATAAAGGTGGTTAGGTACCATCAAGGAGTTGGCGCCAATTCATAGCAACCCTGTAAGTTCTAATCTTTCCAGAACCCCTCTGGAACTCATTACTTTCAGCTCTTTCTCCTTCTCTCTCCTTCCCTTCTTTCTTTGCCAAGATGGAGTGAAACGGTTTCTTCTTGTGGTTTTGAGCTGCATTTTTCTGAAGACTAATGACATTAGGGAGTTCTGGTGGTAAGGCTGATAGAGTTGTGCAAAATGAAAGGCTGTGACTTTCTGGAGGTTTGACTCCACTAGTGGTTCCTTCGGGAAAAGATGGACAATCTCCTTCAGTATGATTTACCCCATGACATCTCAGGTATGAGTTGGTTCTCATTCAATGGCTGGCAATGAACTGTTCTATTTTCATGACTTTGAACATTTTTAAATGTCAGAGCTGCTTTTAATATTGATTTAGTATGATATGATAGTTCCTACCAATCAAAATGTTTCCTAGTTTACATGAGCACTGGTGGGTCAGTGGCAGTTTCTACCTTCCTTTGAGGACATCAGGTTCCCATTCTGTCCATGCTCCTCATGTGCAGTAACTGCTTATCTCTTCATGGAAGCGTATGTTGCTCTGATGCTGAACAAGGAGACCTAGCCACTCAGTGGTTAAGATCTCCTAACGGTCTAGTTGGAAGTGTTTAGTTGATAAATGAAAAGTCAGTGATTTGAACCCACCAGTTGGAAAAAAGACAGGAGAAGAAAAAAAAATCTGCTTCCTTAAAGATTATTACCTTGGAAATCCTGCCAGGCAGTTCTATTCTGCTATAGACTCCACTGTTGTAGGATTGCACAGGAGATGGAATCCAATTGACAGCACACAATTAACACATCATGCTGAACAGGTTTTGGTGGGGCTTCCAGACTAAAATGGACTAGGAAAAAAGCACGGTGATCTTTCAAAGGTAAGTAGAAAAATCTCATGAGCTCCCATGGGATAGCACAAGACCAGCAATTTTAGCTCTGCTGTGCTAAATATATGGGACTCGGTAGGAGCTAACAAAATGCAACCAAAGAAATTCTTTGGTGTCTGAGCAATCCACAAACTTCTATTTGGATGTTCAATGGACATCACGTAGAAGAAGGGAGGGGCAGACAAGAACTTGTAGTTCCAAGTGGAACTACAAAAGAAAATCTTCACTGGGACCTGCGACTACCCCTGAAAAGATAGAGCTACAGCTAACTCCTGGGTGACCAAGAACCCCTCTCTCAATTCACTTTCGGCCTACAGGGATTGACTACAGACTGCGCTAGAAAGGCGGGGCCAGTACGGCAGAGGTCAAATGTCAAAAATCACCATTCCCTTCTTTCAAAGGTACCTTGTTTCAAAGCCAGAGAACCCGAATCCCCGAATCCACTGCCCCTCAGATATTCCACAGACTCAGCTGACAACAGAAGCCAGAACCCGCCAACCCAACCCGGATTATGATTGAGGAGGCCGCTGGGAAGACACTCGTGATTGGTAGGATGGCGTTGGGGCGAGGACTCCGCTAGAAAACCTCCTTTGGATTGGTGCAAATGATTCAGGGCGGGGTCTCCACTCCTAGTAGGCGCGAAAGCTCGAACGGCTCTACGGAGCTGAAGGCGGCGGGAGCATCTTCACTAAGGCTGCGGGAGCCGGAGCCGGGCGGAGCCCTGCGACGGCAGGAATCATGACAGGCGAGATGGTTTCCGAGGTAAGCATTTGCACTTCCTCTAACTGGGGTACAGATGCCTGGCACAGAGTCGGAAGGGAAGAGAAAGACGAGCCAAGGCCAGCTCGCTTTGGGTCGGAGGACTACAGTTCCCGACATGCACCACGCCAGTCCCAGTGGCCCCCTCGGACTCGGTCCTGGGGGTTCGGGGCTTCACTCGCACCAGGGCCTCCGCTCTTCGGCTCCGCTGACTGTGTTTCTGTCAAAGTTTGGGGCAAGCGCCTCCTATTCGTTTGTCACAATTGCCCTACCCTTTGGCGCGTTTCCTGTTGCTGGACCCCTTCCTGCTACCCAAACCAACCCATTACTAGAGTTTATTCCGGTTCACTATGACCCAGTAGGACCTAGTCGAAAGGCCCCATAGTATTTCCACTGCTAGAATATTTACAGAAGCGACGGCCACGTTTTTCTCCCAGTGAATGACTTGTGGTTTTGACCCTTTGACCTTTTTTAGACTAATCACTATGCCACCAGGGTTCCTTTTCCACATACTGTGCCCTCAAGGAGAGCAAAGCCCCGATGAAGCTGAGATGGGGGCAGGATTCTTGAGAAATAGACAAGGGCTATCTTGGGGAATAAGAGAATGGATCCGGAAGAAATCTTGGAGGTCATTCTCCAGTGACTTCCTTTTGTGACCAGTCCTGGAGGGAGGAAGTAACCTATTTGCTGAAGAAATTGGGTGTGGAAACCCAACTGGTTTCTGACTGGTGGTGGGATTCTTTTTGGAGGAGGGCGCGGAACTAAGGCCTTGGGTGCAAAATTTAAGGGGCTGCCAACAAACTCAGTAATCAAGACATGTATTTCAATGCATAGAGTTTTTGAAAATCAAAAGTAATGCTGAAACTCCATTTTATATTGACCAAAAGATTTTAAAATAAGAACAAGATCCAACTCAGGATCCGCAAGTTAGCGGGATCTTGCCTCATTCATTTCATCCTAATCATGGCTCTGATTACAGTACAGGTGACTGGCTCGCCAGATAGTTTGACAGTATTTTTCCCAAAAAAATATTGTGTGTGTTAACCTATACTTGGACCAAGAGGCAGTCGTCAGAACAGAGCAGGGAGACACTGGATGGTTCAAAATAAAGAAAGGGGTCCGTCAGGGATGTATTTTTGTCTCCATACCTTTTCAATCTGGATGCAGAACCGATCATCCGAGACGCTGGGCTGTACGAGGAGGGATGTGGCAGGGCATCAGGATTGGTGGAAGAATCGTCAGCAACCTGCAGTTATGTAGATGACACAACCCTGCTCCCTGAAACTGAGGAGGACCTGAAGCGCTTGCTGCAGTCTTCTATATGGATTGAAGCTCAATATCAAGAAAACAACGATTCTCACCACTGGGCCAATTGGCAGCATCAGTATGGATGGTGAAGAGATTGAGATAATTAACAGTTTTAGTTTGCTTGGCTCCACAGTCAACACTCTTGGTAACAGCAGCCAGGAAATCAGGAGACGAATTACATTGGGAAAGTCAGCTGTGAGGGACCTCTCAAGAGTACTGAAGTGCATCGATGTCAGGCTGGAGACTAAGGTGCGCCTGATCCAGGCTATAGTCTTTGCATTTACGTGCTATGCATTGGAGAGCTGGACAGTGAATAGGGATGATAGAAAGAGAATTGATGCCTTTGAATTGTGCTGGAGAAGAGTGTTGAATATACTAGGATATTATGCTAGGATAACAAACAGGTTTGTCCTGGAGAGGGTGAATCCAGAATGTTCCCTGGAGTCAAGGATTCTGAAGCTTCGTCTGTTCAGCTCTCTGAGGTATAGCAAGTAATTGCAAAGACCATGGCCTGGATCAGGAGCATCTTAGTCTCCAGACTGACATCATTGCTCTTAGAGCTCTGGAGCAATTCCTGACAGCAGATTTTTCCCAGTGCAATTCATCTTTTGCTTTCCTTACTGCTGGTATCAAGCAAGCTGTAATTGTTAACAACCTCAACCTCTACTCCATCTATCATGGTGCTGCCAGTTGACCCAGTGGTGAGAATTTTTGTCTTCTATATGTTGTGCTTCAATCCATATTGTAGACTACAGTCCTTGACCTTCTGCAGCAAATGCTTCAGGTATGCCTCAGTTTCAGCAAACAAGGTTATGTCATCAGCATAACATAAGTTGTTGATGAGTCTTCCTCCAATCCTGATGCCACATTCCTCCTCATAAAGCCTGCTTCCCGAATGATATGTTCTGCATATAGATTGAAAAGGTATGGAGACAGGGTGCATTCCTGACACACTCCTTTCCTGATTTTGAACCATGCAGTATTTCCTTGCTCTGTTCTGAGGACTGTTTCCTGATCCAAGGATAGGTTTCACATAAGCACAGTCAAGTGTTCTGGGATTCCCATTTTCCTCAAGGTTAGCCACAATTAGTTGTGATCCACACAGTCAAATGCCTTTGCATAGTCAGTGAAACACAGACAATCCTCTGGTATTCTGCTTTCTACCAAGATCCATCTGACATTGATGATAATGTTTTTAATACCACGATCTCCTCTAAATCCAGCTCGTATTTCTCCTAGTTCTCTGCCAATGTACTGTTCCAGTTGTTACTGGATAATCTTCAGCAGGATTTTTCTAGGCTGTGATATTAGTGATATTGTTCGATAATTTCCATACTTGTTCAATAATTTCCACACTCAGATCACCTTTTTTTGGAAATGGGAATAAATATTGATCTCTTCGAGTCACTTGGCCAAGTAGCTCTTCTCCAGATTTCTTGGCACAACCTTGTGAGCACATCCAGGGCTGCATCTGTTTATTGAAATATGTCAATTGGTATTCCATCAATTCCTGGGGCCTTATTTTTTGCCAAGTTCTTCACAGCAGCCTGAACTTCCTCTTTTGTCACAATTGCCTCTTGATCATACATTGTTTCATGAAATTCTTCTGTGTCAGCTAATTCTTTTTGGTACAGTGTCTCTGTATACTCTTTTTATCTTCTTTTAATGCTTCCTGAATCACTCAATATTCTTCCATAGTATTCTTAAGCATTGCAACTCATGGCTTGGATTTATTTTTTAGTTCTTTTAGCTTAAGAAATGCCAAGCGAGTTTGGCCAGTAATGAATTGTGCAGCCAAATCAAAGGAACACCATTCAAATCCCCCAACTGTTCCACAGGATAAATAGTCTCCTTCCATGCAATTTCTGCCTCTGAAAACCTGGAGGGTCACCTGTATGTCCATTCTGACTGTACCCCTCAACAACAACCCCTTATTAAGAAATTCTGGTTCAGGGCTCTAAGAACATGAAGAACCTATCATAATTGACATCTAGTATTACTTTTGTCATTAGCTGGTTAAGTTCCCCAACGTACTCCTCCTTACTGTTTTTAGGGGAGAGGAAGTGGTGTGCCTTAAAAATATTTTGTTTGTAAATTTTCACCTTAGACAGACGTAGATTGGTATATTATACTCATCACTTAACTTCAGCAGTTGTCACATCATGGCCAATCCTGCTTCACCCATATTCCCACTCATTTCATTCATTAGGTTATTTGGAAGCAAATCTGAGATATAGCAGTTAAATCACAAATATTTTCATATGCATCTCTAAAAGATGCTTTTAAAAAGATTGCTTTCTGAAAAGCATAATAAAAAACTACCATTATTAAGTGCCTATTACTAAGATCCTGTGAACAAAAAATCTGAACTCTGTCCTATCCTGCTATCTTTATCATCTTTGACATATTTTAATCCATTGCCACAGACACTGTATCAATCTATTTCATTAAAGGTCTTCCTCTACTTCACTGACCCTACACCTTTCCAAGTGTGATGTCCCTTCCCAAGGAATAGCTTCTCCTAACAATATGTTCAAATAATACTTCACTCAATCCCACAAGAACAAATATTGTATAAAACCATTATTGTAGAATGAGTATAAGGATCCAGGGGGTGTGGTAGAGGGTGAAGCAGAGGGATGAGGATGTGCAGGGAGAGGGGATTAATCTTGGAGTTGTATAATTTGGTGGGTGTGTGGGGAGGGAAATTGGAAGAATCTGTTCTCAAAAATAATGTACTCAAATTTTGTAAATAAACTAATATGAAAAAGAAAGTGCTTCACTGTCTTTGCATCTAGGAAACATTCTGGTTACACTTTCTCCATAGCATATATTTGTACTTTTGACAGTCTGTGGGATTTTCAGCACTCTTCTCCAACACCACAACTCAAATGCATTGATTATTTTGGCATCCTTATTCATTGTCTAGCACTCAGATGCATAGCAGGTTATTAGAAAGACTGTGGCGTGAATCAGGCACACATCTAAATTACTACTTAATATTCAGTTTCTAGAGAGCTGTGGTTGGCATAGTCTGCTCTATGAGAAAATTATAGGAGATAATTTCCTGCTATGTGATTTTTTATTATTCTTTTTGCACGATACAGTTCTTCACTAGAGGCTTGGTTTAGACCAGCTCATTATTGGAGGCATTGTAGACAACACCAGTAATCCTATTTTGCGAATACAACATTCAGAGCCCCAGGAGAACTTCCCCATATCCAGTCTTAGGGAATGGTACTTCTTGTTGCCTCTTCTCCCATGAACTGTGTGTATACGGCAAGGGCCAATCTTAGTGTTGGCAGCCAGGTGTCCCAGCTCATCCTTTTTTTTTTTTTTTAAATTTCCGCCAGCTTATACTTCTCCTTCTTTTGGTAGGCCTTTCTTTTGCCCCCGGTCTTGCCGTGCTTGTGCCAGTTGTCCTGGGAGATGCCCATTGTACCACGCTGCCTGGAAAGAGCTATTTTTTTTCTTTTTCATTAATATTTTAATGAAAGTTTACAGAAAACTTTGCTTTTCATTCATTCATTGTTGCACATTTTCCTCCCTACCCCCTCACAGTTCACTTTTCCTTTAAAAAGATTCTTTCATTGTTACAGTTTGCCCCCAACTCCCAGTCCAGTTTGCTGTACATCTCTTATTATGAACTGTTCATGAAAATAATACCTAATGATGTGTTCCTTTTAAATTGTTCTTTCCCTGTTTCACTGCAATGTTTATTATTTATCCCCTCTTTTTTTTTAAATTTTTATTTTATTATTTTTGTGTGAGTGTACCATCAAATCAGATCTGACTGGTACAGGAGGAGATTGTCCCTCCTTCCCCGGCAGAGCATCTGGTGGATTTGAACCGTGCACCTCTGGGATTGTAGTTGCAGCTCCTTACCAGTAGGCCACCAGAGCTCCCCTTATCCCCTCTTTTCTTATTTCTCCCCAACTCCCATGTCAATTCTGTTTTACAACAGTGGCACTATGCATCATTTGTTCTTTCGTGACTGAGATATTTCACTCAACATAATGTCCTCCAGCAATCGTCCATTTTGTGTAATATTTTATGAGTTCCTTGTTTTTCAGTGCTGCTATCCATTAATTTATTGATGGTCATTTGTGTTACTTGCACCGCTTTGCTGTTGTGAACAACACAGCAATAAACATAGGTGTGCATATATCTGTTTGGGTGGCAGTTCTGGTTTCTTTGGGGGATATTCCCAGTAATGGAATTGCTGGGTCAAAAGTATTTCTATTTCCAATTTTTTGATAAAAGGCCATACAGCCTTCTATAGTGGTTGCACCATTTTAGACTCCCACCAACAGAGAATAAGGATTCCAAATTTCACAACCTTGCCAACATTTGTTGTTTGCTGCCCTGTTGAACTTTGCTGTTGTTGTGAGATATCTTATAGTTGTTTTGAATTTGTTGTTCTTGTGTGCCATCAAGTCTAAACCAACCTATAGCTGACCCTCCAGCAGAGAGTAAATCTCACTGGAGGAGACTGCCTGTCTTTCTCTCTTTTGGCAGCTGGTGGATTAAAACTGCATGCCTTTGCGTTGACAGCGTAATTCCTTACCACTAAGCGGTCATAGCTTCCTTCTGTGCAATTTACAGCCTCAAAAGCCCAGTGGAAGTTTAGCTTTGAGTCAGCTTTAAATCAATGCCAGTGAATTTCAGTTATTAAGTATCTAGTTGGTATTTAAATGTCTTTGATTCATACATATTTGTTCAGAGTTTTGTTTGGTTTTTTTTTTAATCCAGGTCTAAACAAACTGCAGATTGCTATACAGTTGTGAAATAATTGGGACCTTGAGTGAAAGAGGCTTGTAGTATTCATTACTTTTTATTTTCAGGAATAGAAGACAGGACCTCATGTAGGAAGTTAAATGGATTCTTTTTTTTTTAATCTGTGTTATCATATTATTACTTTTCTCCATCTTGTCCATTTTTTTTATCTGCTATTACTTTTTGGGGGGGGGTTGTTTTGTTTTTAAATTTATTATTAATTTCAATGAAAATTTACAGAAACTTTGGATGTCCATTCATTCATTGTTGCACTTTTCTCCCCTCCCAACCCTCCGCCCTAGTACATTACCCTCTTGGAAAAGTAAAATTCTTTCATTGTTTTACAATCCTTTTCCCCCAGGTCCACTCCACTATGCAGCCTTCGCTCTGGACTCCTGTCATGATAAAAATACCTAATCACATATCCCTTTTAAACAGTGCTCTCACTCATCTGTTTCAATGCAGTATACATTCTTTATCCCATCTTTCTCAGTCTCTCCCCAACCTCGGGGTCAGTCCTGTTTTTACAACAGTGGCACCATGCTGTATTTGTCCTTTTGTGACTGAGATACTTCACTCAGCATGATGTCCTCCAGGGTAAATGGATTAATTTTGTTACTCTCTTGCTCTTTATCTTACCCCTGCTGTATAGCTTCCTTTTGCTCGTATTTTTTCCTTGCAATTGGTTAGTTAGATAAGCCTTATAATTTGTTCTATATAATTTCCTACATCCTGAATTGTATCTTTGTGATGTTACCTAGCATGTTCCTGTCTTCTGAAAATAGATCGAAAGCTAAGTTCTCTAGATTTGATCAGTTTCAGATCTGGTTGTTTGACGATGGATACTTCTTATCAGGTGGCACATGATGACTGGTTGTTTCTCTTTTTATGATGTTAGCAGCCAATGATCTTTACCTAAGTCTTTTGCTTGATTGGAGGGTGCTAAAATTGTGATAGTCTAATTCTATAATTTCTTCATTGGTTAACTGGGGTTTTTCTTAAGAGAAACTTCTCAATCAGTCATTTAAATTCACTGAGGAACAGTTCACAGAACAAAAGCATACTACATGCTTGATTGTTTTAATTTATTTATCACTGTTTAAAGTAAACAGTAGAACTATAAGCCCCAAACTTAAGCCATGGACTCGTTATGTACCATCAAGTTGGTACCAACTCATGGCTGACCCTCCTGTGGGTTTTCAGAGGCAGTAAATCACATTTTACTGCCTAGCTTTATTCCGCAGAGCAGCTGATGTGTTTGAACCACCTGCCTTTGGGTTGGCAGTGCAACTCCTTACCACTTAGTTACCAGAGCTCCCTGCCATGGATTCATAGTGACCCTTTTAAAGACAGAGTAGAACTACCAATTGCACTGTAGGGTTTCTGGGACTGTAATCTTTATGGAAGCCTACTGCAACATCTGCCACGAGAGTCAATACCAAGTTGAACCATTCACCTTTCGTTTAGCAGTTGAACACTTCACCGTTGTGCTACCAATTGATTTTAGCATTCCTCAGAGGTAACCTTAAGTATTGCAACTCAACGTTTTAATTTGTTCTTCATTTCCTTGAGCTTAAGAAATGCTGAGCAAGTTGGCCCCTTTTGATTTTCTGACTCCAGCTCCTTGCACATTTCATTGTAATATTTTATTTTGTCTTCCTGTGCTGCCTTTTGAAATCTTCTGTTCAGCTCTTTAATATCTTGATTTCTTCCCTCTGCGTTGGCTTCTCTGTGCTCCAGTGCAATATTCAGAGTCTCTTCTGACATCCATTTTGGTCTTTTCTTCCTCCTCTGTCTTTGTAATGAATGACCTTTTGCACTGTTCCTGGAAGATAATCTTGATATCCTCCCACAACTCATCTGGTCTTCACTCATTGGTGTTCAAGGCCTCAAACCTGTTCCTAAAATGGTTTTGAAAGTCAGGTGGGATAGGCTCAACGTCGTATTTTGGTTCCCGTGGATTTAATTTAATTTTCCTTAGCTTCAGCTTGAACTTGCATATGAGTAGTTGGTGGTCTGTTCCACAATCAGCACTTGGCCTAGTTTTCTCAGCTGATATTGAGCTTCTCCAGTGGCCCTTTCCACAGATGTAATCAGTCTGATTCCTATGCCTACCGTCAGGTGAAATCCATGTGTATAACCTGTGTTTATATTTCTTATAAAATATATTTGAAATTAATAGCCATTGATTGTGCAAATTATGATACTTAAGGATGCTTTGGGAAGAATATTAAAAGATCCAGGAAGTATTAAAAGAAGATGGAAAGAGTATACAAAGTCATTGTACTGAAAGGAATTGGCAGACACAGAAGAATTTCATGAAACCACATATGAGCAAGAGCCTGTGGTGTTGAAGGAAGAAGTTCAAGCAGCTTTGAAAGAATTGGCAAAAAAAATAAGGACCCAGGAATTGATGGTATACCAATTGACATATTTCAACTAACAGTTGCTGCCCTAGATGTGCTCACCGAGTTGTACCAAGAAATCTGGAGGACAACCACTTGGCCAACTGACTGGAAGAGATCTATATTTGTTCCCATTCCAAAGAAAAGTGATCCAACAGAGTGTGGAAATTATCGAACAATATCATTAATATCACACGCAAGCAAGATTCTGCTGAAGATTATCCAAAAACAACTGGAACAACAGAGAAGTTCCAGAAATCCAGGCTGGGTTTAGAAGGGGTTGTGGTACTAGGGATATTGTAGCTAATGTTAGATGGATCTTGGCAGAAAGCAGGGAATACCAGAGGAATGTCTGTCTGTGCTTCATTGATTATGCAAAGGCGTTTGACTCTGTGGATCACAACAAACTGTGGCTGACTCTGAGAAGAATGAGAATCCCAGAATACTTGATTGTGATAATGTGAAACCTATACTTGGACCAGGAGGCAGTCGTCAAAACAGAGCACGGAAACACTGCATGGTTCAAAATTGGGAAAGGTGTACGCCAGGGATGTGTCCTATCTCCATACCTTTTCAATCTATATGCAGAACAGATTATCTGGGAGGCTGGGCTGAATGAAGAGAAATATGGCATCAGGATTGGAGGAATATTCATCAACAATCTGCTTTATGCAGATGACACAACCCTGCTTGCTGAAACTGAGGAGGACTTGAAACACTTGCTACAGAAGGTCAAGGACTGCAGCCTTCAATATAGATTGAGGCTCAGTATCAAGAAAAGGGTTCTCACCACTGGGCCAATTGGCAGCATCATGATACATGGTGAAGAGATTTAGATTGTTAAGAGCTTTAGTTTGCTTGGCTCCACAATCAACACTCTTGGCATCAGCAGCCAGGAAATTAAAATACATATTGCAATGGAAAGATCTAGTGTTAGAGACCTCTCCAAAGTACTGAAGAACAGTAATGTCACTCTGGAGACTAAGGTGTGCCTGATACATGCCATGGTCTTTGCAATCACTTGCTGTGTGTCAGAGAACTAGATAATGACTAGGGATGAGAGAAGGAGAATTCATGCCTTTGAGCTGTTTTGTTGGAGAAGAGTGTTGAGTATACAATGGACTGCTAAGAAAATGAACAGGTTTGTACTAGAGAGGGTTAATCCAGGCAGCTCCTTGGAGACAATGATTCTCAAGCTTCATTTGACATACTTTGGACTTGTTGCAAGGAGGGACCAGTCCTTGGAGAGACACGTCATGCTTGGGAGGGTGGAGGGACGGCACAAGAGAGGAAGACCCTCTATGAGAGGGACTGATTCAGTGAATGGGATAATGAGGGTAGGTGTATCAGAGACAGTGAGATTGGCACAGGATAAAGCAGTGTTTAGGGCCATTGTACATAGGGTTGCTATGAGTCACAGGTGACTGACTGCACATAACAACAACAACAAAGGTAATTAAAGCATTCTTATTTGTTTTTTGTGTGGTTATTCTTCATCCCTTCATCAGACCCTTGTATTGGATCCTTCCAGATGTTTCTATAGTGTTATGGGTTATTTTGTACCATGTGCTTGGGATGTTATGTCAGCTGGGTTATGCAAAGTATATTTACATTTTCTAGGTTCTCCTAGAAATCCATGATCCAAAACTCACTCCACAGGAAGAAGCAAATAGTCTTTCAGACAGTGGACAAGGAAGCTGTGAAACAGTTGAGACCTTGGATGAAAGAGGTTTGTAAAACTCAATATTTTTATTTCTGAAATAGAATTGTAATAATTTCATTATTTTTTTACATGAAATTAATAATGTCCTAATCTTACTCATTTCTAAAGCAAAATAATAATACACCTACCTCTTTAAAATAGCCATTTTTATTCTCTTATTAAAATGTATAAAATGTCTAGAATTCCTATAAATGTCCACAATTCTTATTTGAATGTATTCCTCATGACTAACTAATATAAGGATTTTTAACACCTGTTGGAAGAATTAATACAACTGTATAAGTCCAATTTATACTTTTTTTTCAGTGAGACATTTTTGTCAGAAAGAATGTTTTCAAAATGTGTTTTTAGATTCATTTCCCACGATCAATTCTTAACTGCTGTTACAAAATTTCACAGATAATAGTCACATGTGTACTTTATTATATTTTTCAAGAGTTGGGTAACAAAGTGGTAGGCGAAATGATTATATAATGTTTTTGAAAATTGTGTTTCCTTCAGACTCAGATGAAGAGATTTTTGTGAGTAAGAAAGTGAAAAACAAGAAAGTGCTACAAGACAGTGATTCAGAAACAGAGAACGTAAATGCCTTCCCAGAGAAAACTGCCTATGACAATGCAGAGGAAGAAAATAAAGAGAATTTATATGCTGGCAAGAATGGAAAAGTTAAAAGGATTTCTAAAACTCTGGCTGACAGTGATGAGAGTGACACTGAAGAGTCTTTCCATCAGAAAAATACCGAGCCTTGCTCAGAGCTGGATCTCCAATCTGAAAAATCTGTGGACTTGACAGTTGACAAAAAGATTTCCAAAAAATCCATACGTAACAAAGAAGGAACTGGGGGAAAAGCAAAAGTAAAATCAAAGAGAAGACTTGAGAAAGAGGAAAGAAAGATGGAAAAAATTAGGCAGTTGAAAAAGAAGGAAACAAAATATCAGGTATATTTTCTTTCTGTTGTGCGAATTGGCCAAATTTTCTCCCGAAGCTGTGGTCCTATAGCCCCACACCCAGGGATTCATTCCCACATGGTGTTTAGTTATAGCTAAAATGTTTTTAGAACTTCAAATGAAGTCTTTTAAAGTATAGTTTACTGTTTCTAAGGCAGATTAACATTTTTTAAAATGGCTTTTTGTTCTTGGGATTGTTCCAGCACTCAGAATATAGCCTTGAGTTGATTCCTTTGCATTGGAAGTAATGGAGTATTTAAATTGGAAGTAATGGAGTGATTTAAAACTTGTTGGTCTCGTTCTCCATACTACATATGCAGAGGAGACTTCCAGATTAAGTGGCTTTCAGATTTTCTTTGTAAATACATGGAGTGATTTTTCGCTCTTCTGAATCAATGAAAATTAATTTTCAAAAGAAAATTTTTCATGCATCCATCAGAGGATTCTATCTGCTGTTCCTTCTCTGATAGGTTTCTGCCTTAAGTTCCAGCTTCCCCAGGGTTTATTGTATTTAACTTTCTTGGCTGCCAACTGATACAATAAAGATTTGAGTACATCCAGGGAGAGATACCACTGGAGAAAGGCTTACTCCTCTATATCCAAAAAACATCAACCATTGAAATGCCTGTGGAGGGTTTTTACTCTGATATTCACATGATCACCATGATTCAGGGCCAATTCAGTGGCAACTATTTTTCCATTAAATTTTTAACTGGCTTGTCAAAGAAGTAGTTTTTGGTTATTAATTTAATTTTGAACAGTGCGTAAAATTGTGTCTTGTACTTCAAAAGGAGAGGTCTGGATTTGGAATTAGTACAAATATAGAATACCATATACTTGTCCATTGATGTGATAGAGGCTTTTTTGGCCTGATCCAAATTGCTTAATATTTTGAAATAATATTGGTGTAGTCATTTGTGGCATCGCACTGCTAATCTACAGGCGACACCTGGCTAGTGGCTTGACTCCACCAGCACTCCTTGGTAGAATAGGCAGTCTCCTCCTGTGCAATTTACAGCCTCTGAAAGCCTGCTGGAAGATCAGTTCCAACTTGATGACAGTGTGCTTGTGTTTTTGAGATTCTAAAATGATTGAATTCTGTTTTTCCTTTTTATGTTATTAAGGAAGACGATGTGGAACAGCCATTGAATGACAGTGGTTGTCTTCTTGTGGATAAAGATTTGTTTGAAACTGGATTGGAGGAAGAAAATAACTCTCCATTAGAAGATGAAGAGTCTTTGGAATCAATAAGAGCCGCTGTGAAAAACAAAGTTAAAAAGCACAAGGCAAGTCAAGGGTGATTGCAGTTAGAGCTAACCAACCACTTCTACCCTTTACATTTTTCTAAAATGTATACAAATTCCTGTTTTTAAACTTAAGAAAAACACATGTCAACTGATTTAAGTTTTTCAGCTCTTAATTTTGGCAACTTACAGTACAAACGATATATATAACTTTTTTTGAAACTAGTGTTTTGTTAATGTTCAATTAAAAACTGACCCTTCATGTTGTGATGTGAAGCAGATAAATAATAAGACAGAAATGTGAACTTTCCAATGTATGGCCTCTGAGAAATGAACCCTATCGATCTGCAAGAAGGATATCAAAGAAAAGCCTTCAATCAAAACATTTTTTTTCCAGAGAGCCTAGAAGCATAATTACTCTTGAGCTCCTTGGGTATCATTGGCTCTTGCTAGGGAAATATGTTACAGTTACAAGAAATGAAACTTTAGTTGCCTTTGATACATAGAATTGGTTTTCTGGGCATTATAGTAATTAAAATGTTCTATTAGATATTTACTGGTTTACTGTGTGTGTGTGTATGTATGTGTGTGTATTACATGTTTTTGGTTTTTTACTGGTTTACTTTTAATGTAGCATGAAGTGATGATAGAGTACAAAAGTCGTCTTAGAGTAAGACACATTTTATTTCACTTTGGTTTTATCCATACTAGTTCATTTTCTCTTTTAGAAAAAGGACCCGTCTTCAGAGAGTGGGTTTTGTTCATTTGAAGAAGAACATGGGTTATCAGAAGGCTCTGTGAGGAAGGTGAGATAAAGCTCTATCAGTGGCCTTTGAGCTCTTTTCTCAGGAGATTGTGGGCTTCTTAGAAATAAATATTTTACCTTTTCTATCATAATTTCTCAAGCCCCAACATATTGCTTTGTATGCATAGTAAGGATACAAATATAGATTGCATTGTATTCATTCTGAGACTTGCAAATAAGTGAGTTACTTGAGTTTATATTGTGTGTGTTTATTAGTGCTTATTGTTTCCTTTCCATCCATCTTTTTGGTGAGAGCAAACTCATGAGGGATGAACATCTGTGGTTTTGGATGATACTGTTAAATGTAGTCTCCGATTATGTTTTCTTTAAGGAAAGGAAAGCAGCCAAGTTGAGTAAAGAAGCATTAAAAAAACTGCATAGTGAGACGCAGCGCCTTATTCGAGGTAAGGCAAACTAGCCCAGTAAACTTTAAGGCAAACCATAATATTTCTTTGTAAGATCAAATTGAATGTTGGGTTGTGGGTTGTTGTTTTTTAAAACCATTATTATGGATTAGCTACATCAGGATCCCTTTGGGAGCTTTTTAAAGATATAAATTCTTAGTTCCTATAAAGAGCTGATTCATTAAACTTGGAATGGAATTCAAGAATCTCTACATTCCCGATGCCTCTTGCATCATTTTGATTTCACCACAGAACACTTAATTGAGCTGTTAACCAGAAGATCAGCATCTCAAACTACTAGCTGCCCCACAGTGGCGAGATAGTCCCTGCTAAGATTTACAGGCTTGGGAGATGATTTTGGAATCAACTTAGTGAGAGTGGGTTTGGGTTTTGGGGGTTTTTTTCTTCTCTCTGTTTTTTTTTTTCTTTCATTCGTTGTTATACTTTTTTTTTAAAATTGATGTTCTTGTAGTTCAGTCTTCAGGAAGCTTTTATACCTATTTCCTGCTTTTGTTAATGGATGATCTTTTTCTATTTCTGCCTTGACTAATTGTTGGTTAGCTAAATATGAAGTGACATTTCAGAATGTTTTCGTACTTACTTGTTTTGTTTCTTATTACAGAGTCTGCACTTAATCTTCCATATCATGTGCCTGAGAATAAAACCATTCATGATTTCTACAAACGTAAACCCCGGCCCGTGGGCCAGGGAAATGCCATGGCTCTGCTGAAGTAAGAATCTGTTTTCCTTATGTGTGATGATAATGTTATGTATTGGACATCTGGCATAAACAATTCAGGTTCCTCATTTCCTTAGAATTAATTTAGCTGATTCATTATGTGCTGTGTATAGAGAATGTTTCACATTTAGGATAATTTTAAACTCCAGCTTATTTTCCCTTCACTAGGTCATCCAAGTATCAGCCAAGCCATAACAAAGAAATTATAAATACCACAAATAAAACTGAAATGAGCAGTGATTCCCACAGCAAAAGTTCCAAGCAGGCAACAAGTATAGACTCTGAAATAGAAATTAATCCACTTCTGACAGCTTTAAAAGAACCTCAAATCACCACTGGGTCAGATAAACCTTGTAAGGATTTGGTGGGAAATGAAGAACTAGAAATTCAGGAGAAACAGAAACAAATGGATTCTTTTGAAGGTAGTTCATTGGATCAGAAGGAATCCAGCTTCCTAGAAACGAAAGACAGTGAGGAGTCTGAGGCTGGAGAGCTTGTGGTATCTGAACTTCTTCCCCTGGAGGGAGGAGAAGAACTGAAAAAAACAGAATCAGCAGATTACACAGTGGAAGAATCAAGGCCGCAAATAAAATCAGGCACAGTGCCACCAGAAAAAGTGAGACGGTTCACTCTGGATAGACTGAAGCAACTGGGAGTAGATGTTTCCATCAAACCTCGCCTAGGTGCTAATGACGAGTCCTTTGTGATTCTTGATGTACCTGAAACCAACAAAGGTAATCCTTTGAACTTTCTCACTGTCCAGGCAGCTTTTAATTATTTGCCACTGTGGAGGACAGGGGACATGGGAGAAACGGATACCTATGATCTGATTCTATAGCTATAACAAGTACAGGTAGTGTCTCTTTTTAGTTAAGTTGGCAATAGTCTCAGAGTGATCTTAAGGCTTGCTTAAACTGGAAGCCTATAGGTAGATAATAATGCAAAAGAGGCATATTGTTGCTTACTCTGTTCTGCGTGGGTGTGTATCATATCACTAAGATATTCTTAAGTGCATCCAGGTTATCACAGCTAAAGAGAACCATTTTGGCTCACTGAACTGTCTACAAAACTCTTTTTTTCTTTTTACCGCTTATTCAACATTAAACTGCCTACTATATGCAAAATGCTGTTAAATAATAAGAAAGGAAAAATATTCTTTGCTAAAAAGAGTATGTGGAATAAAATTCTATAGATGTGCTGCTGTTTTATGCCGGCAAGTTGGAACCAACTCATAACTGAGCCTCTAGTGGGTTTTCAGAAGTTTTAAATGGCACAGGAGGTGATTGCCCATCTTTCTACCCCAGAGAAGCTGGTAGATTGAAATACCCTAGGGTTGGAGGTGCAACTTACCACTAGGCCGCCAGAGCTCCTAATAGATGTGCAGAGAAGAGATGCATTACTTAAAACCAAATCATTATCCAGCAAGTAGATTTTGACCTACAACAGTCCATATGTGTTAGAATCTGCTCCATAGGGTTTTCAGTGGTTGATCTTTCAGTAGATGTTCAGGCTTTTCTTCGTGATGTCTCTGGGTGAACTCAACTACCAGCCCTTTGGTAAATAACCAAATACTTAACATTTATACCAGATGGGTGGTAGAAGGAATGCTTGACGAACAGGTGTATGCGATAACTTGTTCACTGTCTTCCCCTTTACACTGTGCATAGGGATCCTGCTCTTAATTCCTACTTTATCCCTAGGGATTCCACCATATATGGCACATTGTAAACATATTTAGTGAATAAATGAATAAGCTTTCAAGACTAAATGTAACACACATTGGTGAGCTTCCTATTTCTCCTTGATAGAGTCAAGTACTCTATCAAGACTGTATGGCGTGATGGTTATGTTTAGTTTCTAGCCAGAGAAGGCTTTAAGTCTGGAGTTTATTACCTATTGCTTGATTTTGAGGTTATTTGACTTCTCTAAGCAGTCTTCTTAAAAAGATGAAATAATAACACAAATACATAATACATAATACATAAAAATGTATATCATAAAGAAGCATCCAAAAATGGCTGTTATTCCTGCTGTTGTTGTTGTTGTTGCTGTTGTTTACTGGAGAGTCAGAATCGACCCATAGAGGACTTTCTGGCGGGTTTTGAGAGGCAGTTAATTGCACAGGAAGAGATTGCCTTTCTCCTGCAGAGCATCTGGTGGCCTCCAACCATGTACCTTTGGGATTGCAGCACAGCTCCCTGCCACTAGACCACCATTACCTCCCTGCCATTAGTGAAATTATTTACATCAAGAGTACTTCATTTAACAGTTTATTATTTTTGGAATGTGATATGCCAACTCTGTTATCTGGCTCATTGAATCTTTTATTGAATGAATGGACTTTTTAGAGGTGAAAAAATGTCCTTTCTTGGAAGAGACAGAAAGAGTTGTGAATGGTATATGCTAGGAGTTTGTGAGAGTCTGTTTGACCTGAGCAGGAAGTGAGAGGATTATGTGACAGACAGAATTCACATAGCTCCTTTCGCAAAGAAACGTGAGAATGAGCTGTTGCCTGAATCACATAGGGGAATTTTGTTATATGTAAACAGACTAAGAGATAGGGAAGAGAAGAAACTTTTTTTTAAGTACCTCATATAGGAGACATTGGTAAATTCTTTATTAATTCTCTTAAGAAGTGTGGTGGTGGGAGCTCTGGTGCACTAGTGGCAAGAAGCTGCACTGTAATCCCAGAGGTATGCAGTTCGAATCCACCAGATGCTCTGTTGGAGAAGGAGGGACAATTTCCTCTTGTACCAGTCAGATCCGATTTGATGGTACACATACAAAAATTAATAAAATTTTTAAAAAAAGAAGTGTGGTGGCATGGTAGTTATACACTCAAGTCTTACTTGAAAGGTCAGAGTTTGGACCCATTGGCCACTTTGTAGGAGAAGGATGTAGCACTTCGCCTCCATAAAGATGTCAGTTTTGGAAACTATGGCATTGTTCCATGCTGTCCTATAGGGTCACTATAAATAGTAATCAATGCTAGGGCAGCTGATTAATTCTCAGAGTCCCAGGTGGTATTTTTGCAAATAAAGAAAATATTGCTTCAAAGGGTTAGATCATTTCTCCACCATTACCCTTGGCTTTTTCAGGGACTGTAACACAGTGCCTGGTGCATAGGAGGCACTTTCTGGAATTTAGATTTTTTTACCTCACTGTATTCAAACTTTGTAAGTAAATCAGTATTAAAAAAAGAAAGAAAGAATACTTAACGTGAAAGTTGGATTTCCAGACCAGCCTACTAAATGACATATGTGAAGCTAGGTATCAGTTCATTTATTCATACAATACCCTTTTTAAACATTATTAAGTGTCATGTATACAAGTAAGATGTAGTTCCTGCTCTCAGTCAAAGTCTAGTAGTAGTAAAAATATGTAAAGAGATCATTATAATACAGGTTGGTAAGTGCTGTGGTCAAGGTATGTGCTTGAAGTGGGTGATTTGTTAATTCAGAATTGTTGATTGCCATCGAGTCGAGTACAACTCATACTCTATGAACAAAAGACCTAATGCCTTTCCATAACTATCATCATTTCTCCAAGTTTATAGAGTTTCCATAGGCATGTGGTTTAGGGAGTGGATGCCACTCTTGCTTCCAAACCTATTTTACAACTGGAGCTCTCCCAAACACTGTCTGCATTGGGAGACCATTATATTTGTTACCCCAGTGGCACAAGGTTCGTCATCACAGCAAACCCAGATTACCTCAGTATAGCAGATTGACAAAGAGTGATGTACAAAGTAGGAGAATGATCCTCCAAATATAACATTAGTCTCACTTAGCAGTAGTTAAGTGTTGTCAAGTCAAATATGACTCATAGCGACCCTATGAACAAAAGATCTGAACTCTGTTCTCTCATTGACATCCTTTCTATATGATTATAGAGTTGATAGTTTCCAGAGGCATCTGGTTTAGGGAGTGGATGCCACTCCTGCTTCCAAACCTGAATCAATCTGGAAGCTTCTCCAAACACTTTTCATCATGGGTAACCATATGGTATTTGACATGACTATGGCAAAGTGTTCAGCATCACAGCAACTCCAGTATCAAACCCAAACTAATTGTTGTTGATTGCCTTTGATTCGAGCATGACTCATAGCGACCCTGTGAACAAAAGGCCTGAAGATCCTCTACAATTATTGACCTTTATCAAAGTTCATAGTTTCCAGAGGCATGATGTTTAGGAAGTGGATGCCACTCCTGCTTCCAGACCTGTTATAGTATGTTATTGTTGTTATGTGCCATTGAGATGTATAGCAACCCTATGTACAGAATCTCTAAATCCTTCCCTGTCCTGAGCCAGTCTCACTAATTCCAACACACCAACCCCCATTGCCCCAGTTACTGTATCAATTCATCTCATCCAGGGTCTTCCTCTCCTGAGCTGTCTGTCCACCCTTCGGAGCATGATGTCCTTCTCCAAGGACTGATCTCTCTTGGCCACGTGCCAAAGTAAGTGAGATGGAGCTTCAAAATCCTAGCCTAGCCTCCAAGGAGAGACCTGGTATCACCCTCTCCAAGACATACCTATTTGTTTTCTTAGCAGTCCGTGGTATGTTCAAGACTCTTCTCCAGCACCACAACTCAAAGGCACAAAAAATATTCTATTCTTTTTCTGTCATCCTCAGTCATTGTCCAACTCTCTGAAGCATAACAAGTAATTGAGAATACCATGGTTTGTATTAGGCGCACCTTTATATCTAGACTGATATTGTTGCTCTTCAGCACTCTGTAGAGGTCCATCTCAGTTGATTTTCCCAATGCAATTCATCTTTTGATTTCCTGACTGCTGGTGTTACCCAATAGGAGTATTTAATTTGAACTGAGGAATTGAGGAAGCTTCTGAAAAGAGCTAAATACCTATACTGAATCTTGAAAGCTAATGGTAGAGCCGAGGGCAGAGAAATGAGGGAACCTTTCTTGGAGGAGACAGGAAAAAGCTGGCTGGTTGAAGTGAATATTTGATGGAGAGCAGAGGTCACATCATGCAAGGCTCTTAGGCCATACTGGGAGCTTAGACTCTAGCCTTCTGTTAGTGGAGGACCAGTGAATGATTTATTGCAAGGAAATGACCAGTCAGATTTCATTTCAGTCTGGTGACTAATATGGCAAATGCATTAGAAAGGTTGTTGTTGGGAGCTCTGGTGACCTAGTGGCAAGAAGCTTGTTTGCAATCCTAGAGGTACGTGGTTCAAATCCACCAGATGCTCTGCTGGAGAAGGAGGGACAATCTCCTCCTGTACCTGTCAGATCCAATTTGACGGTACACACACAAAAATAATTAAAAAAAAAAAATTGAAAAAAAGAAAAGGTTGTTGTTGTTAGGTACCGTCGAGTTGAATATGATTCATAGTGATCCTATGAGCAAATGATCTGAACCCTCTTCTATCCTGTGCCATCCTCACACTTCCTGACATACAAGAGCCAATTGTGGCAGTCACCTTGTCAGTCCACCTGGTTGAGGGTCTTCCTCTCCTTTGCCAACCCTCTGCCGTTCCCAGAATCATGCACCTTTCTAAGGAATAACCTGTCCTAGCAACATGCCCAAAGTATGTGAAGCGAAGCCCCATGATTCTTGCTTCCAAAGAAGGTGGCTGAACCCTCTCCAAGACATATTTGTTTGTTCTTCTGGCCATCTTAAGAGGCAAAAATAAACTCTTAGCTACTGAATTGGAACTGACTGATAGCTGACCTACTATTGGGTTTCCAGGGCTGCCTGTCTTTCAGGGGAGAAGATAGCTCATCTTTCTCCTTTAGAGCCTCTTGTAGATTCAAACTGCCAGAGACATGCAACCTTTGGGTTAGCAGCATGACTATGGACTAAGCCACCAGAGCTCCCTACTAAGAAAAAGAAAAAAAACAAAACAAAACTATTCCAGTGGCTTATAGCATTAAGAACTTTGAGAATTCTAGCATTCTGCAGCTAAGAACCAAAATACCTTCTACCTTGCTGTTATTTTTGGTCCTGAGTAATCTCCCTACCCATCAATATTTTATTATTATTCTGTTGGAACCATTGGTGGCCTTTTTCTTTTCCTTTGCACTTCTACCACCTGTTGCTTCTGCCCTTAATACCTAACTGACCTACTATAAAATCTTTATAGGCAAATTTACGCTCTTGTTTGTGACATCAGCACAATCTTTTGGGGTTCACTGTTTGCTGCTAATAATGTTAGAAAAGAGAGCTCTGGCGGCTTATTGGTAAGAAGTTGTGCTGCCTTCAGAGGCACACAGTTAGATTCCACGAGCTGCTCTTCAGGCAAAAGATGACAATCCCGTCCATCTCACTAAGTGTCTTCTCCTTTGCTGACCCTCAGCATTTCCAAGCAAGCTGTCTTTTTCCAGAGTGTTCTGTTGATCTGAGTTAAAGTATGAATTTGAGATAGGTCAGTAGGAAAGAGTTTATGCATTACAAACTGACAAATTCATTGGCATTTGGGTTTAGAACTGGAAGCCTTGAAGCAGCGGTTCTGGAAGCATGCTCATCCAACAGCCAAACCCAAGACAAGTCAAAAAGTGAATGTGAGCATCATCGTGAAAGATATGGGCATAAATGGAAAGGAAGAACTAAAGGCAGATGTGGTGCCTGTCACTTTGGCAGCTGAAAAGCTGGATGAAGCAACTCACACCAAGCCAGGTAATTGAGTTTACAGTTTTGGCTTTTATTTTGTACTGTGACAAATCTTTTTGGTTACTAAGACCCAAATGGTGAAAAATTATGGAAGCATTTTTCTTTAGAACTGTTAAAATTGGACTGCATTGCTTCTTTCATGATTCATGTGTAATATTGCCTCGAGGTGTGGGGTGGGCAAGATGGTCTATTTCTTAAAATAACATTTGTCTTACTATAAAAAGCAATATATAGCCATTATAGAAAATACATAGAAAGAATAAACAAAACACACCCACAGTCCTCAACCAGAGACAACTGCTATAATCATTTTCATATATCTGTCCTTTTATACTCTTTTGCATATGTGTGTAAATTAAAAACAAAATGCAACTAAAGCACATTCATAACATACATACTGCTTTGTAACCTTTTTTTAATATGATGTATTGCAGACAGAACACTTGTTCCTGAACACTGAAAGTATGAATATTATATATTACATAGAAAAAAATTAAGACAGTATGGGGTGGGGGAAGAAAAGTATAAAATGAGAAGTTAGTCTTTCTAAGGGTAGCTATTAATAATTTGTGTGTGTCGTCCTGAAGAAATTTACATGCAAAACCTGTAGGTATGTGTCAGTTAGTGCATAACATTGAGCACTTATTCTTTGCCAAGTACTGTGCTAGGTACTTTTTTTATGGTGTCTAATTTAATCCTTACAACTCTGGGAAGTAAGTAATATCAGTATTTTCACTTATATATGAAGAAACTAATATTCAGGATATTTAAGCAGCTCACTAAGATGTACAGCAACTAAGTGGTAGACCCAGACTGGCTAATTCCAGAGGTGCAACACTTAAAACCCTCATTATAGTAATTTAGAGTGTTTTTAACAGCTCTAAAATATTCTAGTGTATGGATATTTAATGATTTATTTAATCATACTTCTACGGATGGACATCTCATTTATTGCATTTATTGACTATTTCATAGAATGTTGCATCCTTTTGTGTACTGTTAAGTTGGAACCAACCCATATCTGACCCTCCAGTGGGGTCAGAGGCAGTTAATTGTGTGGTAAGAGATTTCCCATCTTTCTCTCGTAGAGCACCTGGTGGATTCCAAGTGTGTACCTTTGGGTTTCCAGCACAACTCCATATCATTAGACCACAAGAACTCTACAGTTATTCCAGTCATTGGCTATTTCATATAATGTTGCATCCTAGTACCTACATATTGAATAGTATACCTGGATGGAAAACTCCTTACAGTGTAATTTTCTTTTCCCCTACTTGGCCATGTGTATTTACAACCAATAGAAGTTATAAAACCCATCCTCTAGTAAATCAGTGTGTTCTTGTGACAAATAGAAAATTTAAAAAGTTTAAAAATTTAAAAGTTTAAAAATATCTTCATTTCAGAACACATACACATTTTTTAATTGATATTTTTATTGTAAGTTTATAAAGAACTTGGATTTCCATTCATTCATTGTTGCACATTTTCTTCCCTGCTCCCATACCCCCAGTTCTCTTTTTTCTTTGAGAAAAAAGTTTTTACATTGTTATACAGTTCCCCCCAAAACCACTTTACTATGCAGCTCTTATTCTGGACTCTTGCCATACCTAATCATATATTCCTTTTATACAGTTGTCTCCCTCATCTGTTTCAATGTCATGTACATTATTTATCTTTTCTTAGTTTCCCCTCAATCCCCCATCAGTCCTGTTTTATAACAGTGGCATTATGCAGTATTTGTCTTTTTGTGACTGAGATATTTCACTCAGCATAATGTCCTCCGTGGTCACTGATTTTGTATATTATTTCATGAGTTCTTTGTTTTTCAGTGCTGCATAATATTCCATTGTGTCAACTTCTCTATCCATTCGTTTGTTGATGGGCACTTGGGCTGTTTCCAACTCTTTGCTATTGTGAACAAAGCAGCCATAAACATGGGTGTGCATGTATCTGCTTGGGTAACAGTTCTGGGCTTTTTAGGGTATAATCCCAATAGTGGAATTGCTGGGTCAAATGGTATTTCTGTTTGCAACTTTTTGAGAAAGCCCCATACAGCCCCGCCTTCCATAGTGGTACACCATTTTACACTCCCACAACAGTGAATAAGGGTTCCAGTTCTTCACAACCTCACCAGCATTTGTTTGTTTGCTGCTATGCTGAATTTTGCTATTCTTACGGGGTTGAGATGCTATCTCATAGTTGTTTTGATTTGCATCTCTTAGAGCTGGGGATTTTGAGCACTTCTTTATGTGTTTGTTCGCCATCTGAATGTCTTCTTTGGTGAAGTGTCTGCTCATATTCTGTGCCATTTTTACAATTGGTCTTACCTTTATCTTGTTGTGGCATTCGATTATTCTATAAATTCCAGATATAAGTCCCTAATCAGACACGTCATTACCAAATATTTTTTTCCCAGTCTGTGGTTCCCGTTTTTACCCTGTTGGAGAAGTTTTTGGATGTGCTTAGAGATTTGATTCTTGGAAGGTCCCATTAAAAAAGAAATTTTTTAAAATTAAGGAAAAAAAAGAAGGTCCCATTCATCTATTTTTATCCTCTACTGGTTGTAGGTGCAGTGTAATTTTTTTTTAAGAGCTAATCAAAGGAAAGGATGTTCAAAAGACAAATGATTACATGATAATATACTCGAACTGAATAACTGGCAAACTATACAATTGTATAGTAGAATTATATACTACCTAATTACATAATACAGAATAATGCTGTTTATGTCCCTTAAGCTGTCCCCAGTCCTTTTTCTAACCGTGTCCTGAGGCTGGGCGCTGCTGTGCCAAAGGCTACCTTGGTGGCTCTGCTGTAACCTGTCCACTCGGAGTGATCCTGCTGGTGTTTACAATTCCATTGGCATAGTTTCCAGCATCACATCATGCAAACTACCACAGTACAGCCTACAGACAGACGAATGGTGGTGCACTGTAATCACTGAGTTAAATTTTGGCATGCATCATCAAATTATACTTCAAAAAGGTTGCCCTTTGAGTTCTGGTAGCAGAGTCGATAGCATGTCACGCTGCTAACCAAAAAGGTTGCACCAAGTTAGAAATTAGGTTAAGCCTTCTTTTACCTCAAAAAACTAGCTATGTGCTGTTTTACTTGTTGCCATGCTAATCGAAAAGTCAGCAGATCAAATTTACCAGCTACTCCATGGGAGAAAAATTGACAGTTTTCCTCCTGTTAAGACTTGGAAACCTGATGGAAGTTTGCTGTGAGTCAGAACTGACCCAGTAGTCATGGCTTTAAATGTGGAGAATAGTACCTTATTATTTTGTATAACTTTAGTTGTTGTTGAGTACTGTAGAGTCCAACCAATCCATACCTGACCCTCTGTTCAGAAACAGTTAATCACATGGAGGAGATTACCCATCCTTCTTCCGTGGAGCATCTGGTGATCTCAAACTGTGTGCCTTTGAGATTGCAGCTTAGTTTCTTGCCACTAGACCACCAGAGCGCCCTATCTTTAGTTAGAAATTAAATTAAGCATCATTTTTCATTTATTTATTAATATGTATTTCCTTTTCTGAAAACTACTAGTTCATGACCCTTGTCCGTTTCGCTGTACAGCTGTTTGCTTTAGATAAATTTGTCAGTACTTTCCTTTGTGGTTTCTGAACCAGAGACTTTTGAAGTCTCTATGCCATTATTTTGATCCTTTATTACAATGATTTTACAATCTTTAAGTAGTATTTATCCCCGGATATAGAACTTTAATTATAGAAGTTCTCTTCTACTTTTCAATTCATAATAATCCTCATTTGTTAAAATAACAATAGCTGAGAATACTAAAGACACTAATTTTTAGGGGTGGCTGTGACTAGAACATTTCTGGAGTTGCCTAAAATAAAGACTTGCATTATTGTAATAAGTAGTCTATGATTATGTCTTAATGCATTTGTACATATTCCTGTTCAGGTGAAAAGCTTCAAGTACTGAAAGCTAAATTGCAGGAAGCCATGAAACTCCGTAGACTTGAAGAGCGCCAAAAGCGCCAAGCATTATTTCAATTAGATAATGAAGATGGGTTTGAAGAAGAGGAAGAGGAGGAGGAAGAAGAAATGACTGATGAGTCTGAGGAAGATGGAGAAGAGGAGCTAGAGGAAAAAGAGGAGGAGAAAGAAGATGAAGAGGAGGAAGAAGAAGGCAATCAGGAGGTCTCTGGCAATTGTGTGATTTAGTTACTGTGTTAATATCTCGGGAGCTTGGGTACCTAGTGGGTAAGGACTTGCACTGCTGGAGGTTCAGCCCTGTGCCAGTTCCGACTCAACAGCAATGAGTTGTTACATTTTGATATCCTCTCCCAAGTCATGATGTATAAGGGAAAAAGGAAATTAGATATGGGTTAGAGTAGAATACCCATACCCTTTACCATCAACTGAATGCCAACCTATAGTGACCTTATAGGTCAGAGTAGAATTGACCTACAGGATTTCTAAAGTTATAACCTTAACAGGAGCAGACAACCACATATCTGTCTCTCCCATAAGGACGGATAGATTTGAACCGCCCTTTTGATTTGCAGTTGAATGCTTAACCATGGTTCTACCAGAGTTCCTTAAGAGCAGAATCATGTCAAAGATTTTATGGATAATAACAAAGGTAACCAGCTACTTTTGTGCCAAGAACTCTGTATTCAGTTCCGTGGCCATCAAACACCTAAGATTCGCAGAGCCATGGCCTTAACTTCCTTCTTCCTGTCCGTTTACATTTTAATATGATGCTGATACTGGTTAACAGCTCAACACTCGATTGATTACACCACTAGAGCTTTTTTTTTTAATTTATTTTATTATTTTTTTGTGTGTACCGTCAAATCAGATCTGACTGGTACAGGAGGAGATTGTTCCTCCTTCTCGAGCAGAGCATCTGATGGATTCGAACCATGCACCTCTTGGATTGCAGTGGAGCTTCTTGCCATTAGGCCACCAGAGCTCACCACCACTAGAGCTTTTTTATAATACCAATATTGGAGCATGTCCAGGGCAGCATCTGTTAGCTGAAATATGTCAGTTGGTATACCATCTATTCCTGGGGCCTTATTTTTTGCCATTTCCTTCAAAGCAGCCTGAACTTCTTTCATCACCATAGGCTCTTGCTCATATGTTGTTTCATGAAATTCTTCTGTGTCTTCCAATTCCTTTCAATACAGTGATTCAGTATATTCTTTCCATCTTCTTTTAATACTTCCTTAATCATTTAATATTCTGCTGAAAGCATCCTTGATTATAGCAACTTGAGGTTTGAACTCAGGTTCTGAATATTGACATGTACATAGAGTCGCTATGAGTTGCAAGCGACTCGATGGCACATAACAACAACACAACAATATTGGAGCACTTTGTATTGATTGGGACTTTTTTCTGTTTATTTAGTGTTGCTCTGATAAACTAGTAGGTAAGAGTTCCTCTGCCAAACCAAAGTCAGGTGGTTCAAATCCATAGCTACTCTGTGGGAGGAAGATGGGCAGTTTTCTCCTGTGCTGTTTACAGCCTCTGAAAACTCACTAACTTGTCAACTATTAGTTCTTACTCTGTGGAAAGAGGAATTTAAGGATCCTTGGTGGCATAGAAAGTTAATAAGTGTTGGACTGTTAATTGACAAACCAGTAGATTGAACCCACTGGGCACTCCATAGGAGCTTTCTACAGCCTCAGAAATCCAATGAAGGTTCGCCATGACTTGGTATCTTGATGGTGGTGGATTTGGTTTTGGTATTATTTATTTATATTTCTGTTAGAATGAAAAAACTGCCTTAACCTTGACCAGGTTACTGTCTTGAAAAAGTTCTCAAATAGAGTCATTACTGAGTTAACTTTATTCTACACTGCTGAGAGTATTTAAGTGTATTACACTTGTTCCATATACTTTCTCTCTACCTAGAGAAGGCAAGAAATAATACAACTAGTTACGAGAATAAGAGAAAAGCCTTTTTGTTTGGATACTGGGCTCACTTGAAAGATGTAGTTGATATTTAATCCTGGGTAAAGAAAGAAGAAATGCTTACCCATTGTTGTCTGGTGGAGCAGAACATCACTGTCTAGTTGGTTTGAGGTCATGTGTCCTCCTGCCATCTCAGGCTAATCATTTAACTTCTCATTGTTTTGATAAGATGATAAGCCAGTCTACTTTTATAGTCTTGTACCAACATGGGAGGGTGAGGGATAAAAAAGTCCTAAAAGTGATATGGAAAATTATGTTGATGGCATTTAAAATGCAGTCTAACATCTGTATATTTAGGCTAATAATACTTTCAAAACTTTTGATATGTATGTTTGGTTTTGTGGTTTTTTTTTTGGTGGTGTAATTGGTAAAGATTGCAGAATTCCTTCTTAATAGTGAAGAAACAGAAATAAAAGATGATAAAGAAATGGACAAAGAAAACCATGATGGCAGTAGTGAAAGTGGCAAGTCAGTTGGTCTGCTTTCTGTTCCCAAGCCTCTCTCTGATTCCACTTTACTTCTATTTAAGGACAACTCTTCTAGGATGGGGTAAGTGTGTTTTCTCTAAAGAAGCATACGTTTCCCTTGCATTTGCTTTTCTGGTTAAAAACAGAACAGGTTCTCGAACACTTTGTTTCTTCATTTGTAGTTTCTTTGCTTCTGAAGAAAAGTCAGAAACAGATGAAAACTTAGGTAAAAGGTCCAGCAAACTAGGTGAGTAGTGACTCATGTAGAATTTGACTTTTCTCTGATCCTCCAGTTTTGATATTTAAGGATTCTGGTTCCATCATATTCCTGGGTTGTGTTTTATGGGGGGTTTTTTGAAACCTGATGACTTTCCAGTCCTATCTGTGGCAGTGAAAGGAATTTAAGAATTGTAACATTTTTCTTGATCCATTTGTTTAAAACTTAAATACAATTTCTGTACATTTGGTCCTGGACATATGGTAGGTCTTTCATGAGTGCATGTTGATTGAATTAGCCATGATATATTTCTATAAATATATAGATCAAAGGAAGAATATGAATGACTGTCTGGTGGAGAAGGTAATCAAAAGCATTAGGCAGGTTAGAGAATGAAAGGAACTTTCAGGTTTCATTTAGCTCAGAGTGATAAACCCTGATCATATGATGGTGTCTTAGTACTGTAATTTAACTTTATGTTTTAGAACCTATAATTTGAGGGGTTTGCCTATGAATTTTACCTGACAGTTTCATTATCAACTCTTCCTTCCTAAACAAATCCATCTCATTTTTGGGAACACTCACTTAAAAGTTACTTCTCTCTTTAGATGAAGATGATTCATGCTCATTGCTGACAAAGGAGAGCAGCCACAATAGCAGCTTTGAGTTGATTGGTTCCACGATTCCGTCCTATCAACCTTGTAACAGACAACTAGGCCGTGGGACCGGCTTCTTCCCGACATCAGGAGGGTTCAGATCTCCTTCCCCTGGGTTATTTCGAGCCAGTTTGGTCAGCTCAGCTTCTAAGGTAAGATGGTAATGATTTTCTAATCTCCTCCTTTTGCTTCCCACATTGCTAAATAAAATGTGTCCAAGCCAGCAACTCCCACCACAGTGGCACTGAGCATTCAATTTTAAAAGTCCACCCCCTTTGTGTATTAAAAACAAAGCGTCATCCAGTGCTCTTACTTTCTTGGAGGTATTTTTCTACTTGCTGCTCTTGGCTATGCATTGTCCTCCTCAGCTGCAATTGCCTGAGTAGATTAAATGTTGCAAACAGCTACTTCTGTTGTTGTCATGACAGTGAATGACATTTGTAAAATGTTTTGTTTTTGTTTGCTTTTGTTTTGGTGCCAGAGTTCAGGGAAGCTGTCTGAGCCTTCACTTCCCATAGAGGATTCCCAGGATCTGTATAACGCCTCCCCAGAGCCTAAGACACTTTTCCTAGGAGCAGGAGACTCCCAGTTCTGTTTAGAAGATGACACTCAGAGCCAACTGTTGGATGCAGATGGGTAGGTAGTTTTATGTTTCTGTGGGTGGAAATGGTGCTGGGTACTGCTTAATTTCAGTTAAAAATAAAGTGAGCTTCTGTCACTCCATCTGTGCCTTCTCTTCTGAGAAAGAGAAGGTGTACAGACGATTAGTATTACATTGTACAAGTTTGAACAAAGTCTCCAGAAAATAAAACGTAAATAGCACTTGATAGAATCCTGATCCTAGGATCTCTGCCTTATTTGAAATGCATACGTCTTATAAGGGTGTTCCATTTTCATGTATCCATTCTACTTTGTTGTGATTGTTGGATGTTGTTGTTTGTTGTTATGTGCCGTCAAGTCGCCTGCGACTCATAGCGACCCTATGTACAACAGCCCTAAACTCCGCTCTGTCCTGTGCCAGTCACACTGTCTCTGACACTCCCATCCCGATTACCCCAGTCACTGAATCAATCCACCTCATAGAGGGCCTTCCTCTCCTGCGCTGTCCCTCCACCCTTCCAAGCAGTCTCTCCTCACAACATGTCCAAAGTATGTTAGATGGAGCCTCAGAATCCTTGCCTCCAAGGAGCCACCCGGTTTAACCCTTTCCAGGACAAATCTGTTTGTTTTCTTAGCAGTCCATGGTATTCTCAGTACTCTTCTCCAGCACCACAGCTCAAAGGCATCAATTCTCCTTCTATCCTCCTTGGTCATTGTCGGATAGGGTTGAAAATTGACAGACCTTTGGCACACTTTAGGACATCACACCAGTTCCTCCTCCAGCAGCATCTGAGGCCAGAAATGAGCCTTTCCCTTTTTAAATAGCAGTTATCCTTTGACCTAATACCCCTTCCTTCCCTTCATTAGATTATCATAGGTCTAAAGTTTGAGTTTTTTGGTTTTTGATTCAGCTTCTAACTGGGGTATTGGGAATGAGTTCACAGTCATCCCCTACCACACCCCCAGCCACTTTGCTTCTTCCTAGAGACGTTCTTACCCTATTCATTGTGCTTGTAGGTTCTTAAATGTTAGGAACCACAGAAATCAGTACCAGGCTTTAAAGCCTCGATTGCCGTTAGCCAGTATGGATGAGAATGCTATGGATGCTAACATGGATGAGCTGTTGGATTTGTGCACTGGAAAGTTCACATCTCAGACTGAAAAATCACTTCCCAGCAAGAATGACAAGGAAGAGAACATGGAGGAGCTTCTGAATCTTTGTTCAGGAAAATTCACTTCTCAGGGTAAATATCCAAGAATACACTATGCTCACCACACCTAAATCAGTGTCCTGAAAAGAAATCCTTTATTCTCAGATGAAAATCTCTCAGAAAACCAGTGGGATCTGCACATAGATAGAATTCAATGCCTAGCTCTAACATTTAGAACTTTCACTTTCTTCAACTCAAGACTGCTTTACCTTCAGCCACATGAGTTGTCATTTATAGTTAATATATGTGTAAAGTTTGGAACAGTGTGTCATGTGCATAGTATATTTCATGTAAATGCTAACTCATTTTTTTCTCTCTGTGCCTCGTATTCATACTTGCTAGAATGGAAGCTCTATGAGGCCTGGCATCTTTGTTTTATTCACTATTGTTTCCATGGTTCCAGGCAGATAATAGTAAGACTTTGTTAAATTACTGGATGATAGGTTCTTTTTTGGAAAGCTTACTTTAGAAACTCTACTGAGGTAACATGTCTTTAGATAGTAGGGGAAAGTGCTCAAAGCTCTCATGCCTTGGTGACAGATATTTTTCTTGTTTTATATAGAATCTTCAACTCTGGCTCCTTCGGAGTTGAATAAGCAGGAGAAGGAGAGCAGCACAGGCGATCCAATGGAAGAAGCACTTGCTCTTTGTTCAGGCTCCTTCCCAACAGACAGGTAACATTCAGTGATTGTGGAACTTTAGTAAGGCCGGATCTGATAAAATTTTGGATCACGTTCTCTGGGATGGCGGATAATTGATTGATTATCTTGGGGATTCATATTCTGCCGAGAATCCTGTGGTGGATTTGAGCCTCGTATTTATACAGTTGTTACTATGTACTGTTGAGTCAGAACTGACCCTCTAACAGTTTTCCAGAGGCGGTAAATCTCAGGAGAGATTACCCATCTTTCTCCCATGGAGCAGGTGGTGGATTCAAACTGCATGCCTTCAAGTTGGCAGCACAGCTCTTTACTCCTAGGCTATCAGAGCTCGCTAAATTTCCATAATTCTGAAATTTATTACTTAATACTTTACTATGTAAATTCTGGTATTTAATATATAACTCTAACCCTAAATTTATATTGTTCTGAAGCGATAAAGCTCTGAAATTTATATAATAAATGATAGTATGATAATGCTTTTATTTAATTGATGAAAAATGGGATGGAAAATAAAAGTAAGATACTTTGCAGTTTCTTGAAGAGATTATTAGACTACTAAAAATATCTTAAATCCTTAACTCAGCTGGCTGCTTGCAGTTTTCCAACAACTCACTGACTGACTTATTTGCATTTTAGAGAAGAAGAAGGTGAAGAAGAGGAATTTGGAGACTTTCAACTTGTCCCAAATGATAATGAATTTGATAGTGATGAGGTAAGCATGAAAGGAACAAAGTAATCATAATTGAACTCCATGATTTGCTGTACTTAGCTATTTTTTGTTTGTTTTTTCCTTGTCTGAGTTCTTGAAAATTCCAAGTTTGAGTTCTTGGAAATTCCAGGTTTGGCATCTTAACAGAATCCATTTCCTAGAAAGAAGTGTTTGGACAGAAGCTTATGAATCCTATTCCAGTTGAGGGCACATTTTATTCTGCTTACCTGTGGTATGATACTGATTTTGTAGGATCGCCACAGTGATCACAATGACTCTGATAATGAAGATCTGGCACTAGGAGACCAGGAAGAAGAAGATGAAGAAGAGCTCTTACAGCGATCTGAGAAGTTTAGAAGGAAAATGTGAGTGTTGTATCCATTCTGCTCAGTTCCTGGAAAAATCACCTAAAAATTTTTACCTAAATACTCTGATCTTTTTCCAGATTTTCATGGTAAACAAAGATTAAACCGTCTTTCTTTGACGTTTTTCCCTTGAATATTTGACAGTGATGGCCTTGTCTGTCTTCATTAGTGGTTTTATGAGTGGTGTCTTTACGAAATAGAAGTTTCAAATATGACACTGCTTCTAGACCCTTTATGTGTTGGATATTCTCCTTTGTAGTCTAAATATTGTTAAGTGTGTAAGTGTGGTGGTTCAGCTGTATCCCTTCTTCTGGGTGCATACTGCTTATAATGTAAACTAATATTGTAGTAGTTGGGTCACTCTAGATCTTAGGGAACTCCTAAACCAGAAGTTGAGTTACTAAGTAAATGGTTCACTGTTGGAACTCACAGCTGCTCTGTGGAACAAAGGTAAGGCAATCTGTTCCCATGAAGATTTCTAGCCTAGGAGGCAGTTCTACTCTGTGTTATAGGGTCACTATGACATTATAAAGCGTCAGCTAGGTAACTAAAATTCCTAGGCCTTTTTCTTCATTCGAACTTTTGTCATTCCAGATCTCCTTCATCTTTACCTGGCACAAATTACCCAATTTATGGTTTTAGTGTTTTTGTTATTATTAAAAAGAAAACTCAATGCCTTTGAGTTGAAACTGAGTCCTAGCTGACCCTCCACTGTGTTTCCAAGGCCATAAATTGCATGGGAGGAGCTTGTCTATCTTTCTCCCTCAGAGCAGCTATCTGGTGGGTTTGAGCTGCCGGAGAGGCATGGCCTTCAGTGCGACTATCATGGGTGGACGAGATCACCAGAGCTCCTTAAAAAGAATCTGGAATGAAGTCAATTTAAGTAATCTAAGTCCACTGCCAAATGTTGGCTGTTTCCTCTTAACCTATTTTCCCCTCCTTTTTTTAATATATAGACTTCTATCTGCATAATCATGCTGTGTATATAATTTTTTATGTGTAAATTTGTACTTTGATTTTTTTCCACTTAACATATCCATGAACATTTTTATGGTATTATGAATTTTATGAAGACCATTTTAATTGGTATTCAATATTATATTGTATGTGAGTGGCTTTTGGAAGTTACATTTAGGACAATATATTGATCCCTGTTAGATTTATAATGTTGGGTTTTGCCCGTTGTTCCATTCTATTAAGATCAGTTTTGGGTTCTAATTTGTCATCTGTCAAATTAACTTTCATACAGCTTTAGGTCATTCATAGATTTTTTCTAAGGTAGTAGTTCTTAAACCTTATTTAACTGCAAAGCTCTTTGTTCAAGTGAAATAAAGAATGACTGCCATACATTAAACTACTCAAAGACAGTGGGGTGGTTGAAAAGATTAGGGACCTTAGTAGCTAGTAGTCCCTAAAGGACTTCTGCAGAGCCCTGAGCTGTAGATGAACTCAGCTAAAATAATAATAACCTAAGTTTTTTTATGAAAATCACGCTCCAGAAAACCATCAAACTCCTGCCTCTCAGGACCATAGGTAATAGGACAGTGACAGTTGGCAAAACTCTTCTCAAAAGGGGCTCATGTTAGAAAGCACAAATAGGAATGGGTTTTTTAAATTTTTTTTTTTTTTTAAGTAGATCTGTCTTGGCTTTTTTCTCCTTCCTTTAAATTTTGCTTTATTGTTGACAGTGCTAGGAGTAGTTTTCATCACCAGGAGCTGTGAACCTCCATCATACCTCTAACCTGGGGACAAGATTTAATGAGCTGCATTACAGAAGAATAAACAGACCTATTTTAGAGGAAGTACATCCGTAATGCCTCTAAGAAGCAAAAGTGACAGGACTTTGTCTTGTTCACTTTGGGCATGTCATCAGAAAAGACCATTCGCTAGAAAAGGACATCATGCCTCGTAAAATAGTGGCTTTGCCAAAACAAAAGAACTCCCCCCCTTTTAAGATGGATTGACACAGTGGCTGCAACCCAGGTTCAATCATAAGAACAGTTGTGAGGATGACAAAGACTGGGCCATGTTTTGTTCTGTGTATAAGGTCATCATGAGTCAGAGTCTTATTTAGCAACGACAAACAGGGAAGGAAAGCCTGTCACCTTTTCATACCATGCTATCTTTAGTCTGTCTCCTAAAGTTGATGATCTACTTAATGCTTAAGTACAAAGCAAAATAGTTTGAATATTCCTATAAATATGTCCCAATTATACAGAAGAGGTAAAGAGTTCCTGCTTTAGAGTTATTGAACCTAGGTCTCATCTTGGCTTTGGTGTTTCTGACTATATTACCTTGGGCAATTTATTTACTCTTCCTGAAGTTCAGTACTACTCTCTTCAACAATTAAAAAAGACCAGTTGCTTTCAAATTGACTCCAAGTCAAGGACTTTATATATGTGTCAGAGTAGAGTTGTGCTCTACAGTGTTTTCAGTAGCTGATTTTTCAGTAGTAGATCACCAGGCCTTTCTTCTGAGACACCTCTGGATGATCTCAAACCTCTAACTTTTTAGTTAACATCTGAGTGTTGGCATCACCCCATAACTCATGCTAGCACCCACTCCTCAGATGATGCCCGCAAAGCCTAGCACTCAGCACATACCCAAAACCAAACCCATTGCTATCAAATAGCAAAAGTGACCAAGAACATTTTCAAACTATATACCTTTGTGAAAGTAGACAGCCACATCTTTCTTTTGCGGATCATCTAGTAGGTTTGAACCACCAACCTTTTGGTTAGGAGGTGAGAGCCTTAACCACTATGCCACAAGGTCTTCCTCCTTGTCACTTGGTATGTGTTAAATGATAGGGAGCTCTAGTGACAAATACCATTAAAATGTATTATTGCTAGTTTAAGTTTCTTTTTATTAGAGATGACTAGTTTTTCCTCATTGGTTTCATAGTCTATGGGGATACCTCCCTATTCATTGATGACTTTTCTAACCTTCAAAACTACTTTTTAGGAGATTGAAGAAATACCTAGAAGATGAGGCAGAGGTGTCAGGGAGTGATGTGGGAAGTGAAGATGAGTATGATGGGGAAGATATTGATGAATATGAAGAGGATGTAATTGATGAAGCACTTCCTTCTGATGAGGAATTACAGAATCAAGTCAAGAAGATACACATGTTAGTATCTCGGCAAGCCCTTCTGAGGAACAAGGTGTGTCTTAAAGCAGCCCCTGTAACCAACCAGTGCAGTTGGTTTTAAACGCCTATTTCTCCGGTTATAGGAAAACCATGTTGGATGATGATAAACGGCAGCTACGTTTGTATCAAGAGATGTACCTCGCTGATGGGGACCTGCACAGTGATGGTCCTGGGCGGATGAGGAAGTTCCGATGGAAGAACATAGGTATCTTGGTTGTTGCCTTTAAGAGCAAATGCTTATGGTGTCCACATATACCTGTTTGTTTAGTTTAAAATGGTAACTAAAAATCAAAACTTAAAAACCTGTCAGTAACTGTTGTTTTCTATAGTGAATTGAGAAAGTTTATGTCACTGTATGAGAAATAATAAATGTTTTATTTTGTGTCTGTCCATGTACTCTGTCCAGTGAGCATTGCTCTGGTGGTTTAGTCGTAAAGAACTGAACTGTGCTCCCAACCCAAAGTCACACAGTTCGAATCCACCAGCTGCTTCTTGGGAGAAAGATGAGCAGTCTCCTCCCATGTGATTTACTGCCTCTGAAAGCCCACTGGAGGGTCAGCTGTGGGTCAGATCTGACTACAGCACATAACACCACCAATACCCTTAACTCTCTGCTTTAGATGATGCTTCCCAGATGGACTTGTTCCACAGAGACTCTGATGATGATCAGATTGAAGAACAGTTTGATGAGACAGAAGCCAGGTGGAGAAAGGAGCGAATTGAACGAGAGCAGTGGCTTCGGGACCAGGTAGGGAGTTTGCAAGAAAAAGGCCTCTCTGACTCAAATCGGTGTAGAAGGAAGAGAGGACCCAGTCACCTACTCTTACCAAGATCATTTCAAAGCATAAACAATGTATTGCTATTCCTTTTAATCCTTGAGTTTTTCAAATGTGCTTTGAGATAAGGTTACAGTGAACAATTATCTTCAGTTTGTCCAATATCTCTTTTTTCTTTTCTTAAAGCAACAAAAAATTATGGAAAAGAAAACAATGCTACACCAAGTACCCTAGCTTCACAGCCCATGTTATAACTATTTGAGGGAGCTGTAGACTCATCTGTTAATGCTGTATGATTTTTATTTTCAGGCACAACAGGGGAAAATTACAGCTGAAGAAGAAGAAATTGGAGAAGACAGTCAGTTTATGATGCTGGCCAAAAAAGTTACAGCTAAAGCTCTTCAGAAGAGTGGTGAGATCCTGGTCCTCCTCAGTGTGTCGCTTCTGGACTGTTAGCAGGGAGCCTTGGAGGTGACCCCAGCTTTCAGAGACTGTTGTAACTTAGCCATGGCCTCCTTAACAGTGTCTTGAGAGGCCTCACAGTGTAGGGAATAAACAGTGTTCTTGACTGTTAGTGTATTGGGCAGTAAAGGTTACACTAGAGAGTATAGATATAGCTGAGTTTACTTTATGTCCTAAGACCACCAAGAACAGCAAATTCTGGATTATGTATCTTAACTCCAGACCTGAGGCTCTTAAACACTACTGTACACTTTTTTTTTCCTTGTTGTGTCCGTTGGATCAAATCCTATTGGCACAGGAGGAGATTGCTTCGCCTCCAGCAGAGAATCTGGTGGATTCGAACTGTGCACCTTTGGGATTGACTATTGTACTCTTTTACCACTCTTGAGTTTTCTTTTTTTGCTTTCATTTTTACTTTCAGTTCAACTGCCTAGCTTCTTGGAACTATTTATTTTAGTTTGAAATTTATCATTGTAAAATAATCAGAGTTTTTATGGTTTTAGCTGGTTAAGCTTATGAATTAGAAGGCTTCTTTGCTTGTTAAGATTTGAAAGGAATTATACTTGGATGGTACCTGGCTACCACTACTGAAGTTGACCAAAGGTTCTGTCTGTAATAGAACCCTTATTAAAAGGGGAGGAATGCAGAAAAACTTCTTAGGGACTCTCGAATTTTTGGAGCCATAGAGGGGGAAAGGAAGGTAACAATGTTCCCACAGCTTAAAGAATGGAGCATCACTAAATTGTACATGTAAAAATTGTTGAATTGATGGTGTTATAGTCTCAACAAAAAGAAATTCTTTTTAAAACTACTAGTTTTTTTAAAAATTCTTTATACCCAACTTTTCCCAGAGCAAACCTCCCTGTCTGTTTCTCTTCAGCCAATCGAACTGTGGTTGTTCAGGAATCAAAGTCTTCACTCAGAAGCCCCTTTGAAGCCATCAAACCAAGAAGTACTCACCAGGTTGGTTGGAGATTTGGTTAGCCTGATGTCATGGTCTGCAAGTTCTAAATACACAGGCCAACCTAAATTAATCTCTGCTAGGTGTCTGCAGGAAATGTGAATCATTTATGAAATGAAGATAGGACTATGTCCTCCCAGAACGTGGGACATAGGGATGGTGATGGCTTTTCATTATTTAGAATTTAGGATTTGATGTCAGATGACTCTTCTTTCCTCAGCGAAAGACAGGCTCCTTGCTCAATCAGCCCAAAGCTGTGCTTCAGAAACTGGCTGCCCTCTCTGACCTCAACCCCACTACTCCCCGAAATTCAAGAAATTTTGTCTTCCATATACTTTCTCCTAGCAAGGCTGAAGCAAAAAAAGAATCTCCTAAGCCTCAGGTAAGGAATTTGAGAAATAATTTGGTGGCTTCTCAAGCCATGGTTAATTTTTTTTTTTTTAAATTCTGGTTTAAAGGTACACACGGCAGTGTTGAAATCCTGCATTCCCCAAGGAGATACAGGGACTTGCTGCCCTGTAGATATATATCAACTTGAAACTTTCCTAGAAACTTTTTTTTTTAATTGTGCATTATTTAACTATAAATTCCTTAAGAGATGATTGAAGCTTAGTATTTGAATGAGACTTGATCATGAGCTGGCTTTGACACCCTTCTCTGCTTTCCAGATGAAGAGACGAGGTCCATTGTTAGTCACATCTCCTTCATCAAAGCGCCTCAAAACAGATGATAGCACTTCGGAATTGAAACGAAGCATTTTCAGATATTTGGAAAGCTAACACCTTCAAGAATTACTGCCAGCAGCTAGTTGAGACTGCTTTGAGAAGCTTCTGGTGCTGAAGGTTAGAAATGATGCGAATGATCTCTCCTTCCTTCATCATCAGTGCATTAAGAAGACACATTACAAGGCTTTCCACTACATGTCTCTGGATATTTCTCCTGGTGTGACTTTCTGCCTTGACCACTGATTATAATTCCACAATGTTTACAGCCTTGATTCATGGGTTACTTGAGTGAAATCTCACTTCCTCCATTAAACACTTGACATTTTATCTTAGCCGCTTTGTTGGTTGATACCTCTTTGTAGTAGAGGTTGTTGGAAGAGAAAGAAAGAATTTGGTATTGCAGAGAATAGTGAAAGGCAGTACCAGATTGACTCCTTCATGTCCAGGAATCAGTGAAGAGGCGTCTGAGACAGGATCTACAGACCAATCAGAGAGACTATTTTTAGTCTTTCCTCTTCTTTTTTCTTACATGCCTTTTCGAAAGATTATCTCAAATTTCCAGTTAGCTTCACTCCCTTCATATTAAGGTCTCAAACTGGTCTCAAGTCAGTAAGACCATGCACCTAATTTTCTAGAGTATGACAATGAAAATAAAGGTGTGTTCTTGATTCTGTCCCTATCAAGATATTCCATGGAGTAAAGATTTCTCCTGAGATTGAACTGTCATTTTGAAACACTGTACCCAAGGACCTCCCTTCCAACTTGACAAGAAGGAAGAGACCTATTGTTTATGGCATTTTCCTACCCAGAGTATTGCTTTGGCCAATCAGAAGACACTTTCATGTTTCATGACTGAGAAAAACCACCATTGATTTTAGTCAAAGCAAAGATGAAGAGAGTTGCCTTCACTCCTCATTTTCCCTGAATTATCACAAGGATCTCAGAATTTTATTTTCCCCCTCAGAACTGGAAAAAGCCATGCCATGAAATGCTGTGACTTCAGTGCCAGAAGCTCAACTTACCTGAGAAGTTAGATGAAATTGTGCCATTTTTTTACGGGGAGATAGGGAAAGCTTGCTTAACTGATGAAATGAGGGTATAAGTTTTCTACAGTTATTGCTCATAGTTAAGATGCTGACTAACAGAACTCATGTATGTATATTTGTAATCTTATAATGGGGAAAATATGTATAAAGATGATGTAAATGTAGTTTTCCAATAAATGTCAATTCCTTGAAGACAGGATTTGTTTCCTAGCTTAGATGTTCATTCTTAGGTTGGTAATTGTGTTTTTAGAGTGTCTCCCTCCTAACGGAGCACTTGAGGAATGAAATGCTGTTCTATTTTGTCTACTAACTGGCTTCATAGCCCTGTGAATTGATCACCATATTACTCCAGATGGTTTGGGTTTGGTGCAGGGCAAGCAAGAGAGATGTTATAAAGTGGTAACTATTTTTTACATCCCTCTGATCAATAGTTTCTTTTTAGCTGAATTTACCTTTTCTCCGTTATAGCTTTGAGTTAAGTATGAGACTTAGTGCCCTTCCCTTTCAGGTTCCTAAACCCTACCCAAAGCTCTTTTTGGGCAAAAGAGAAATTGGGAGATACTTGTTTCCTCTTATTTCTCCACATAAATTTTTCCTAAAAGAAATAGAGAGTTAAGAGTTGACCACTGGAGGTAAGAAAATTAATGCCTAACAATTTTGGGGAGGGAGCTCTCTGGTGGCTTAGTGGTAAGAGCCATGCTGCAATCTCAGATGTTCATGGTTTCAATCTACCCACGGCTCCTCAGGAGACAGATGGACAGTTTCCCCCTGTGTGTGCTATTTACTGCCTCTGAAATCCCACTGGAGAGTCAGCTATGGGTTGATTCCAACTGACAGCACAGAACAACAAGAAGAAGAAATTTGGGGAGCAAATGGTTTCTGTTCTAAGCTCTAGGGAAAAGGTTGAATCTTAAACAGAGTCATATTTCCTCATTATGTTATTGTTAGGAGCCATCAGGTGGAGTATGACTCATAGTGACCCTATGAACAACAGATCTGATGTCTGTCCTATCTTGTGCCATCCTTACAATCTCTGACACGCTTGAACCTGTTGCTGTAGTCATTTTTTTTTCCACCTGGTTGAGGGTCTTCCTCTCTTTCTCCAGCTCTCCACTTTCTCAAACTTTATGTTCCTCTCCAAGTAATAGCCTCTACTAGCAACATGTGCAATATATGTGAGATTAATTTTTTTTCAGTTTTGCCTCCCAGAAACACTCTGGCTGCACCTTCCTCAACACATACCTGTTTGATTTTTTTGGCAGTCCATGGTATATGCAGTACCCTTCTCCAACACCACACACAGTTCAAAGTCATCAATTCTTCTGTCATCCTTATTGTCCAGCTCTCAGCAGCATAGCAAATGACTGAAAAGACCATGGCCTGAATCAGGCACCCCTTAGTCCTCAAACTAACATCATTGATCTTCAATAATTTGGAGAGAAAAAAATAATAATTTAGAGAAGTCCCTGAGTGTAGACTTTATACACCTCCTGATCTCCTGACTGCTAGTACCAAGTGTTTTGATAGTGGACACAAAAGGAATGACATTAATTTCTAAGCAAGTGGAGCTGAGTCCTAGCAGGAGCTCTAGTAGCAACCCCCGGGGCTTCATTTTCATTAAGACATTTTTGTTGTTATGCTATAATGTCATTCCTCGTTGTTGATTGCCTTCGAGTCGAGTACAACTCATAGCAACCCTATGAGTGAAAGCCCTTCTACAACTGTCAACACTTATCAAAGTTCATAGAGTTCCCAAACGCGTGTTATTTAAAAAATGGATGACTCAAAACAACTATGAGATATCATCTCACCTCAGTAAGGATAGCATAATTTAACAGAACAGCAAATATCAAATGCTGGCGAGATTGTGGAGAAACTGAAACCCTTATTCACTGTTGGTGGGAGTTAATAATGGTGCAACCACTATGGAAGGCTGTATGGTGCTTTCTCAAAAAGTTGGAAATAGAAATACCATTTGACCTAGCAATTCCACTACTGGGAGTTTACCCTAAAGTACCATAACTGTCACCCAAGGAGATATATGTACACCCATGTTTATTGTGTCTTTGTTCGCAATAGCAAAGAGCTGGAAACAACCCAAGTGCCCATCAACAAACAAATGGATAGAGAGGCTGTGGTATATTCACACAATGGAATACTATGCAGCATTGAAAAAACAGGGAACTCATGAAATATGCAAAATGGGTGACCCTGGAGGACATTATGCTGAGAAATATCTGAGTCACAAAAGGACAAACATTGCATAGTGCCACTATTGTAAAATGGACTGACATCAGGGTTAAAGGAAGATAGAAAAGGAGGAGAGGAATGATACAGATGAGGGAGAGAACTCTTTAAAAGGGATATATAATTGGGTATTATTGTCATGATAGGTGTCCAGAATGAAGGATGCATAGTGGAGTGGACTTGGGGGAGGAATTGCATAACAATGAGAGTTTTTCTTTTCAAGAAGAAGAGTGAATTGGGGGTCAAGAGGGTGGGCAGGGAAAAAAGTACAACAAGGAATGACTGGAAACCCTAAGTCTGTAAACTTTCTTTAAAATTAATAAAAAAAAAAGTGGATGCGACTCCTGCTTCCGACATTCCTCATTATAGTTGTCATAAAGCAAGCTCAGCTCTGACAGGATTGGAGAATTTTAGCCTGCCCCATGTCGCCTGTGTACCTGTAAAGCATTGAGTTGTTTACATCAGCTATGTCTGTTGGCCCAGTGGTAAGGAGTTGCACTGACAACCCAAAGGCACACAGTTCAAATCCACAGGAGAAAGATGGGCAGTCTCCTCCCATGTGATTTAGTGCCTCTGAAAACCCACTGAGGAATCAGGTATGGGATGGTTCTGACTCTATAGTACATAACAACAGCATCTTAATGAAAATGAAGCCCCAGGGGCTGCTCCTAAAACTGCTGCTAGGGCTCAGCTCTGCTTGCTTAGAATTTATATATTTGGTGGGATGACACCCCATCAGTCTGGGAGTTAATGTGCTCAATATCATTCCTTTCGCTTGCTCCTAGTTCCATGTAGTGGGTTTTTACTTTGTTTAAATGGATCCCTAAACTCTAATCAGTCCACAGTTGCACAAACAATTCTCGCATGTCCATGAAGCATCATGTTTACTGAAGCAATGTAGAAGTAGATATGGTATTCACAGTTCCCTGTGGGGTTTCTCCTCCCAACCACTCTACAGCCCTTTGCCCACTTGGAGAATATCTAACGGCTTAGACTGGAAGGGTTTTTTGGGTGTTTCTGATTTTTAGCTTCTGAAATTGCAGTCACTCTTCCAGCATCCTGCCTTTTGGATTTGTGCACCTGCAGATAAGAGACTGCCAGGGAAATATTGTCATGATGCTGTTCGGTTATATCATCCTTAAGATAGTATTGTATCTTTCACCCTTAGTATCCTACTCACTGTCTCCCCTACAGTCTGGAATGTAGTGTTTCCAGTAAATACTCGGTGAAAAATACCACACTTGTTTGAGTATATTTATGTCTATAGAATGAGAATGGCAATTTCATGTATACCGGTTGAAGTATTTCAGCTAACAGATGCTGCCCTGGATGTGCTCACCAAGTTGTGCCAA